TGAATATGGTAAGCTTTTGTTCATTTGTTTCAGACTTTTTGCTCCTGTAAAAAAAAAAAAAAGTACTGATTAACTTTTTTTAAGAAAAATATTTACTGTAAATAAGTTTTCTTTTCCTTTACGTCTTCTTTCTCTTTCCCATGGCCCCTTCAGTTCTTTATTGTAACCTGTAGTGCCAACTCTGTTGCTGGAGGGGCAGTTCAGGATGAAACACTGACCCTGATGTTGCTTATCATGCAAAAGTAGAGAGTTGTTTCTTGAGTCCTTTGGGGAGAATACAGGACTAGATGAGGGATGTCTCATGTCGATAAGCGTAAGCAGCATTGCTGAGATCAAGGGAGTCTTCTCCAACCTGATGCTCCCCCAACAGATTGGAACTATTGTTCCCAGAATTCTCAGCCCTTGAGCATGCTGGGATGCGGGTTGGGAATTCTGGGGGCTGTAGTCCCTACCATGCAGTCAGCACGAGTTTGGAGAAAGATGGCCCACACAATATATTTTGGGGTGGAGGGTGGAGAAGTCTAAATCATAAATATTGCTCTCATTAGACCCTATTTCTAAGATTTTCAGAGGTACAAGGTTAGAATGCTACAATGTTACCACTGTGCCTTCCAATGTTTATATCATCGAAAATGTAACATAATCAAAGGTGGCTGTGATTTAACAAACCAGTAGAAATGTTAAATTAATGTGTGTAGCTTAAATACAATATGCATTCAGGCGTTTCAGAATACATGGTCAAAGGTGGGGTGGGGGGGCAGTTTCAAGTGAAAAAGTTGCTAGTTGTATGAGAGTTTGATTTAAGAAAAGAACATTTTAAAGGGTATTACTGAAAGATAGACCATATACTGCCTCCTCCATTCATTTTAAAAAAAAATGCTAATATCCAACCGTCACACAGCATTAGAACAAGCCTTACCCGTTCTAAAGCATTAAGTTGCACTTTCTTGAGGAGGAGGGAGTAGAACAGTATTTCTCTGGCCAGTACGAATCAAGTTTTTACTTAACGGATATATATTATAGTAAGTATAGATCAAGCTTACGACACAGCAACTCATCCAGTAATTGGATTTCAGGGCATCTAAACAAGCAACCATTGTGAATCTTCTAAAGATTTACATTGGTAGACAGAACAATTAACTGACATTGCTCCCAATTCAGTCTTTGTCAGCATCCTTTTGTCTCCAGTTCCAGCTTCTGATTTTTTAAAAAATAGCCACGCAAACTTGGCATGTTATTTTTAAATGGAATCTCCCTGTTTGAGTAGATTTTCCACCTATCAGCACTGAGTAAATGCCATATACCCATTGAAAATGGTCTAGACGTTCCATCTGTTCTCCTGTTTTGCCAGTTACATAGTAATGAAAAAAAAAATACATTTGTAAATTTTATGCAACAAAATGGCAAACGTATCATTATTTTGAAATTGTGTATGTAAAAGTTATATTTTTACATGTAGACTCTTGTTATTATGTGTTTTAATACATTGTATCAAACTTTTGTTTTTTTTTTTAACTGTGTGGTTGAAACAAAATCTCATTTAAATGAAATAGTGAGAAATAAGAATCTTAATTTTATGTTACTGAAAAACATAAAGAACAAATATGGTAGTTTACCATGTGAACCACCCTCTCCATATCCATAAACATTTTGATTACCAGTGTGTGTTGAAAATTGTAAATATGTTCAGTAGCAGTAAAACTTTTAAAAATACTATTATTTGTTAATAAGTTTCTCAAATGTGGAGGTGGATTAAGCTCATAATAGAGCAGAGTCTATGTAAGTTGAAATCAGAACAACAAATGAGTATTTCATTGCAAATGCCATACTTCTAATAGAATATGTTTAGATGAAAATGTTTGTCTTAAACCTAATTCTTTTAGTACTGGTATTCTAAACAGTTTGGAAGATTCTCTTTTAATTGACAAGTATATTAATATAGTTTAGGATTAATGTTTTTTTATAAAAAAAAAACCAATTCTAATACTTTTAATGGGAAGTTGTTATTTCAGAAGATAACTTTATGCTAAAAACCTGGATAAATCAAAGGGTCATTAACTTACATCTTGATGTCATCAGCGTGAGCATTTCTGTTTGTTTATGTTAACAATACAAAAATTTCAGAATAGTCTCCTCTGTATATAAAACTAATCTGGATAAGAAAAAGAAAGCTATCGGCGCAAATCAAAATATCTTTTTAATAATTGCCCAGATTGATGACATTATATGAATCTTTAAACATTCACAGTCGCAGAACATTGATAAAAGGATGGTTTTTATTACCAACCATTCAGTACATTCTTACAGCAGACATGATTCTAAACAGGAATGAAAATGGTGATGTATATAGAACCAATAGAGGCTTAGTTGTTTATAAAACAGTAATCTAATCTCTGTGGTTTTAGATATGGTTTCCTGTTCCATAATGGAATTTAAACTTGAAAATTAACCAGTCATGCTGTTTTGTGTTGTTCCCCCTCCCCCATGCTTGCTTTAATTCAGTGTGTGATCCTAAGAAATAAGACATCAAGAATCGCTTAGCTTTCACTACTGCTGCCATTTCTATACATACGTCCACCGTGGGAGTTGTCACTTGTTAAAAGATCTGGGGGTGACTTGAGTTGAATGACCAAGAGGTAGAGGTGTGCCAGTTGTTTCGAATTTGAAATGTTCCATATATTCTGCAAGTCCTTTGAGCTTGAAGCAGGGCACCGTGTGACCTTGAGATGCTTCCGCAATTGTCAGAAAATCCTTGTGCAGATTCGTACGAAGGAGAAACCACATGTTGTACAGTAATAAACAGTACTTGGACACTACGTTGTAGAAATCTATAAAACGTTTAGTGAATGATCCACCTCCACATTCAAGTAATTTATGAATACGCAGATTAGGGAAATCTGTTCGTCTAGATTTTTTTTTTTTTTTAACATTTGTCTTATGTGTAGCTGCAAAGAACACTAATGTTTATACAACTGTCAGTTCAACCAGTGATGCAACTTGTATTGATGCAGTCTTCCGATTTGTTTTATTTGTTGATTTCATTGGAAGGGTGGGGACGGGTGGGGATAGGGCGGGAGAAGGAGGGTGGAATTGCAATTTTCATCTTTCTATTCAATAGGCACAGTGCAACCTGTGCCAGACAATGAACAATATAGTACATTGCCACAAATGAAGAGAATTTATCAGGGGAGAAAAAGCACAAATAAAGCTTAATCCACTGACTGATACAAGAAGGGGAAAAAAAATGATTTTCTAAAGGTGGAATACAATGAATTCCAACACAGTGGGGCACCAAGACCTTTTTGGCTTTTCCTTCTTTCTTTCTTTCTTTCTTTCTTTCTTTCTTTCTTTCTTTCTTTCTTTCTTTCTTTCTTTTCTTTTTGAATAACATCTTCTCATGGGACTTGAAGTTGATTCACCTTTGTGCAGTGCTGGTTTGACCATACTCATTTCAAGTATTATAGACTTACGTAATGGTGAAAATATATGAACTGTGGCCTTTTTCATTCTTGTTACTTGTGATGCAACTAAGTGAAGATACGGAAAAAAGCAGAGATTTACCATGTATCAGTGCCTGCCTTTTTGTTACAAAGCTTTGTTTGTCTAGTGACCTTTTTGCTATAAAATAGACTGTAGTACACCCGAGTAGGATAAAAGAAAAGCCTAAATTTAAAAAAAAATTTAAAAAAATATATTTGGCTTATTTTTCACAGGAGCAATCCTTTTATACCATGAATATTCGGGGGGGGAGGGGGAGGGGGTTCTCAGATTCTGAATATTTCTTCTTTGTAGATTTTTGGAATCATTCTAAGTAAAAGTTTGTTACTTTATTTTACTATTTAAAAGATGTTATTTTACCATGTGTTACCAAGATGAAATTGTATGATAGCTTCTTTTTCTTCTTTGTTTTTTTCCTTATTTCTTTATTTTATTTTATTTTTTAAGTTGGAGGTCGCAGTGGGGAACTTTTTTTGTGACTGTACCCATAGCTGCAACATTTAAAAAGAAAAAAAAGAAAAAAGGGAAAAATTATAAAAGGGACAAAAATAAAAAAAAGGATAACAACAGTTACACTTTGTTTTCAACGTGTGGCTGAGTGCCTCAATATTTTTTTTTCCCATGTTTTTGGTGTATTTCTGATTTGTAGAAGTGTCTAAACAGGTTGTGCGCTGGAGATCTCTGAAGGCGAAACACACAGCTTGCTGTAGACCATTATGTTTCCCATTTGTAGTTATTTGATGCCGTCATGTACATGACTGTTCTGTAGCAATAAATGTGCCATTTTTATAAACTGTTTCTGACACTTTTGTTTCATTTCATTTTGCATTGTCCATTTCTGTAGGTATCACAAGAAGTACTTCATAGGAATGACCTAATAGGTGGCGTTGTCATCACACTCCCAACTTCAAAAGCAATGGGTTTAAAAGTGCCATTGGTGTTCTCGGAAGTGCTACATTCCAGATGATGTGTAAAACTGAAGTTGTGATCACCTGAGTTCCTCTCAGAACATAAGAGTTCTTCTAGAGGCCTCTTCACATTCTGCATTGGGTAGTTCATTAAAATCTACTTTCTGGACATAACTGTAAAAGCACATGTCCTTCTCGGCCTAAAC